ACTGGGATGGACTGGGAGGGGATTGAGTCAAACTGGGATGGACTGGGATCAACTGGGACGGAACTGGGACGGAGCAGGACAAACTGGGACGGGAGCGGGACGGAACTGCTCCAAACTGGGCCAAACTGGGCCAAACCGGGCCAAGGCCAGGCTCCAAACCCCCCAGAGCCGCCAACATCTCCAAACTCCGGGCGACAACAACGACCAAGGGCTCCAAACTGGTCCGAAGCGGTCGGAACTGGTCGGAACTGGTCGGGCGCTCACCAGACGACCTCGCCCACGTTGGAGGAGATGAGGTAGCGGATGAACTGCTTCATGTTGTTGTAGATGGCCCTGCCCTCCTCCACGGCCGCCACGATGGTGGAGAAGTTGTCGTCGGCCAGGACCATCTCCGAGGCCGTCTTGGCCACGGCCGTGCCCGAGCCCATGGCGATGCCGATCTCGGCCTTCTTCAGCGCCGGCGCGTCGTTGACACCGTCGCCGGTCTGGGGGCGCAGCCAGGAGGCGGTGGGAGGTCAAAAAGGGCGTGGGGAGGGGTGGAGGGGGGTTAGGTGGGTGGTGGGACTCCATAACTACGTCAAAAGTTGGTGGTTGCACCCAAAATTATGTGAAATTGGTGGTGGGACTCCATAACTACGTCAAAAGTTGGTGGTGGGACTCCATAACTATGTCAAAAGTTCATGGTTGTACCCAAAATTACGTGAAATTGGTGGTGGGACTCCATAACTACGTCAAAAGTTGGTGGTGGGGCTCCATAACTACGTCAAAAGTTCATGGTTGGACCCAAAATTACGTGAAATTGGTGGTGGGACTCCATAACTAAGTCAAAAGTTGGTGGTGGGACTCAAAAAGGACGTGGGGAGGGGTGGAGTGGGGTTAGGTGGGTGGTGGGACTCCATAACTACGTCAGAAGTTGGTGGTGGGGCTCCATAACTATGTCAAAAGTTGGTGGTTGCACCCAAAATTACGTGAAATCGGTGGTGGGACTCCAAAACGACATCAAATTGGTCGTGGGGCTCCAAAACTACACCAAAGGTTGGTGGTGAAACCCCCTTCAATCAATGGTGACCACCATAAATCCATGGTAGACCTCCATAACCACATCCAAAACCCCTCAAACCCCCTCAAACCCCCCACAAACCCATGGTGGACCTCCATAACCACGTCCAAACCCCCTCAAACTCCCTCAAACTCCCCCAAACCCATGGTGGACCCCCATAACCACGTCCACCAAGAACCTTCAATAATAAACCCCCATAAATCCATGGTAGATCTCCAAAACCACATCCAAACCCCCTCAAACCCCCATAAACCCATGGTGGACCCCCATAACCACGTCCACCACCGACTCCCCTCCTCACCATGGCGGTGATCTCGTCGAAGGACTGCAGGAACTCCACGATCTTGGACTTGTGGGTGGGCTCGACGCGGGCGAAGCAGCAGGCGCGGCGGCAGGCCTCGCGCTGCTCGGACAGCGGCAGGTCGTCGAACTCGCGGCCGGTGTAGGCGCGGCCGGTGACCTCCTCGTCCTCGCCGAAGATGCCGATGCGGCGGCAGATGGCGATGGCCGTGCCCTTGTTGTCCCCGGTGATCATGATGACGCGGATGCCGGCGTCGCGGCACAGGCGGATGGAGCCCATCACCTCCTTGCGGGGCGGGTCCAGCATGCCCACGCAGCCCACGAAGGTCAGGTCGGTCTGGTGGTGGAGAAAGGGTGGGATGTCCCGAAGAAAATTGGAGTGGGAGGTGGTGGGAGCGTCGAAAAGGAGGTTTGGAGGTCGTGGAGGAGAAGGAACCTCCAAAAATTGAATTTTTGAGGTTGTGGTGGACCAGGAACCTCCAAAAGTGGGATTTGGAGATCGTGGTGGACCAGGAACCTCCAAAAATGGAGTTTCGGAGGTCATGGTGGACCAGGAACCACCAAAAATGGAGTTTTTGAGATCGTGGTGGACCAGGAACTTCCAAAAATGGAGTTTTGGACCTCTTGGAGGACCAGGAACTCAAAAAAAATGAAGTTTTGGAGCTCATGGAGGAGAAGGAACCTCCAAAAATGGAGTTGGAGGTCTTGGGACCACCAAAAAGGAGGTTTGGAGGTCGTGGTGGACCAGGAACCCAAAAAAGGGAAGTTTTGGAGGTCGTGGTGGACCAGGGATCTCCATAAGCAAAGTTTTGGAGGTCGTGGTGGACCAGGAACCTCCAAAAATGGGGGTTGGAGGAGCAGGAAGCTCCAAAAATGGAGTTTTGGAGGTCATGGAGGAGAAGGAACCTCTAAAAATGGAGTTGGAGGGGTTGGGACCACCAAAAAGGAGGTTTGGAGGTCGTGGTGGCCCAGGAACCCAAAAAAGGGAAGGTTTGGAGGTCGTGGTGGCCCAGGAACCCAAAAAAGGGAAGGTTTGGAGGTCGTGGTGGCCCAGGAACCCAAAAAAGGGAAGGTTTGGAGGTCGTGGTGGCCCAGGAACCCAAAAAAGGGAAGGTTTGGAGGTCGTGGTGGCCCAGGAACCCAAAAAAGGGAAGGTTTGGAGGTCGTGGTGGCCCAGGAACCCAAAAAAGGGAAGGTTTGGAGGTCGTGGTGGCCCAGGAACCCAAAAAAGGGAAGGTTTGGAGGTCGTGGTGGCCCAGGAACCCAAAAAAGGGAAGGTTTGGAGGTCGTGGTGGCCCAGGAACCCAAAAAAGGGAAGGTTTGGAGGTCGTGGTGGCCCAGGAACCCAAAAAAGGGAAGGTTTGGAGGTCGTGGTGGCCCAGGAACCCAAAAAAGGGAAGGTTTGGAGGTCGTGGTGGCCCAGGAACCCAAAAAAGGGAAGGTTTGGAGGTCGTGGTGGCCCAGGAACCCAAAAAAGGGAAGGTTTGGAGGTCGTGGTGGCCCAGGAACCCAAAAAAGGGAAGGTTTGGAGGTCGTGGTGGCCCAGGAACCCAAAAAAGGGAAGGTTTGGAGGTCGTGGTGGACCAGGAACCTCCAAAAATGGAGTTGGAGGTCTTGGGACCACCAAAAATTAGGTTTGGAGGTCTTGGCAGACCAGGAACCTCCAAAAATGGGGTTTGGAGGAGCAGGAAGCTCCAAAAATGGAGTTTTGGAGGTCATGGAGAAGAAGGAACCTCCAAAAATGGGGTTTGGAGGTCGTGGTGGACCAAGAACCCAAGAAAACGAAGTTTTGGAGGTCATGGAGGAGAAGGAACCATCAGAAATGGGGTTTGGAAGACCAGGAACCTCCAAAAATGGAGTTTTGGAGGTCATGGTGGACCAGGAACCTCCAAAAATGGAGTTTTGGAGGTCGTGGTGGACCAGGAACCTCCAAAAATGGAGTTTTGGAGGTCATGGTGGACCAGGAACCTCCAAAACCTGAACTTCTGAGGTGGTGGTAGAGCAGGAACCCCACCCAAAGACCCCCAAACCCCCCAAAATGAAGTCCCACCACCCCAAAAAACGAAGTCCCACCAGCCCGGGGGACGCCCCAGGAGCACCGACCTCGTACTCGGCGAACTTGGAGGAGTCCTCGAGGACCATGTCCTCCTTCTTGGGCGGGGTGTCGCGGGTGGCCAGGGCCAGGCAGCGCAGGGTGTCCCTGCCCGTGCCCCACTCCTTGATGACGCTCTGGATCTTCTCCTTGACCGCCGGCGTCAGAGGAACCCGCGTGGTGCCCACCCGGACGTAGTTGCAGCGGTCGATGACGCCCTCGGGGGCACCCTGGGGTGGGACACGGGGTGGTGGCACTTGGGGACATCATCGAGGGGTGGTGGGACCAAGGTTGGAGAAGGTTTGAGAAGGTTTGAGAAGGTTTTGGGTGGTGGAACCCAGACTGGAGAAGGTTTGGAGTGGTGGGACCGAGGTTGAAGAAGGTTTGAGAAGGTTTGGGGTGGTGGGATCAAGGTTGGAGAAGGTTTTGGGTGGTGGGACCCAGGTTTGAGAAGGTTTGAGAAGGTTTGGGGTGGTGGAACCCAGACTGGAGAAGGTTTGGGGTGGTGGGACCGAGGTTGAAGAAGGTTTGAGAAGGTTTTGGGTGGTGGAACCCACACTGGAGAAGGTTTGGGGTGGTGGAACCCAGGTTGGAGAAGGTTTGAGAAGGTTTGGGGTGGTGGAACCCAGACTGGAGAAGGTCTGGAGTGGTGGGACCGAGGTTGGAGAAGGTTTGAGAAGGTTTGGGGTGGTGGGACCAAGGTTGGAGAAGGTCTGGGCTGGTGGGACGTGGCCATGGGCTGGTGTGACCCAGCTGCCACCCCCAGGTGACCTCCAGGTGACCTCCAGGTGACCCACCTTGACGAACATCTTGTTGCCCACGGCGGCGCGCGAGGCCTTGGCCGGCGAGCAGAAGACCGACATGGACTTCCTGTCCCTGGAGAACTCCAGCGTGAACTCCTTCTTCATCAGCTGCTTGATCACCTGCGGGGGGACAGGTGGGACACAGGTGGGACAGGTGGGACAGGTGACACAGGTGGGACAGGTGGTGGGACAGGTGACACTTCTGGTCCACCTTGGACAGGTTCTGGTCACGGCGTTGCAGGCGTTGGCGCGCTCCACCTTGGACAGGCTCCTGACGTCGGTGTTGAAGACGTTCATCTTCTCCACCAGGCAGGTGAGCGCCGTCTCGGTGGCCTCGCCCACCTTCTCATAGACACCCTTGGCCTGGGGACAGGGACAGGTGACACGCGTGACACACCTGACACAGGTGACCATGAGGGACAGGTGACACAGGTGACCCAGGTGGGACAGGTGGGTTGGGGACACCTGGAGGTGACCCAGGTGGGACAGGTGACACAGGTGACCATGGGGTCTCGGTGGCCTCGCCCACCTTCTCATAGACACCCTTGGCCTGGGGACAGGGACAGGTGACACGCGTGACACACCTGACACAGGTGACCATGAGGGACAGGTGACACAGGTGACCCAGGTGGGACAGGTGGGTTGGGGACACCTGGAGGTGACCCAGGTGGGACAGGTGACACAGGTGGGACAGGTGACCATGAGGGACAGGTGGGACAGGAGGGGACACGTGGGGGGCTGAGGACATCAGGAGATGGACCAGGTGACCCAGAGGGGTTGGGGACACCAGAGGTGACACAGGTGACACAGGTGGGACAGGTGGGACAGGTGACACTGGTGGGTTCCATGGGTGTCACCAGGGTTGGGGGACACCAGGAGATGACCCAGGTGGGACAGGTGGGACAGGGGAGGGGACACCAGGAGATGATCCAGGTGACACAGGTGACACAGGGGGCTAGGGGACACCAGGAGATGATCCAGGTGAGCCAGGTGGGACAGGTGGCACAGGTGACCCAGGTGACAGAGGGGAGGGGACACCAGGAGATGATCCAGGTGGGACAGGTGGGACAGGTGACACTGGTGACAGGTGACAGAGGTGGGACAGGTGACACTGGTGACCCAGGTGGGACAGGTGGGTTGGGGACGCCTGGAGGTGACCCAGGTGGGACAGGTGGGACAGGTGACACAGGTGACAGGTGACCCAGGTGACAGGTGGGACAGGTGACAGGTGACCGCGGGAGGGGACGGCGCTGTCACCTCGTTGTAGTCCAGCGAGGAGTCGTTGCAGAGGGCGCAGATGGTGGCCAGCTCCACCAGGCCATCGAACTGCCCCGCCTTGACCGGCCGCTCCTGCTTCAGCCTGGGGACACCACAGGGGACATCAGAGGGGACATCGGGGTCACCAGGGGTCAGGGGACATTGGGGACATTGGGGACACTGAGGACATCAAGGCCGTTGTGGGATGTGGGGACATCAGGGCCAGGAGAACCTTGAGGAACCTTGAGGAACGTCAAGGTCAAGGTGGACATGGGGACACCAGGGGACATTTGGGGTCACCAGGGGTCACCGAGGTCATTGGGGACACTGGGGACATTGGAGACCTTGGGGACATTGGGGATATCAGGGTTAGGAGAACCTTGAGGAACCTTGAGGAACATCAAGGTCAAGGAGAACATCGGGGTCAAGGTGGACAATGGGGACACCAAGGTCATTGAGGTCACTGGGCACCTCGGGGACCTTGGGGACGCTGGGGACATTGGGGATATCAGGGTTAGGAGAACCTTGAGGAACCTTGAGGAACATCAAGGTCAAGGAGAACATCGGGGTCAAGGTGGACAATGGGGACACCAAGGTCATTGAGGTCACTGGGGACCTCGGGGACCTTGGGGACGCTGGGGACACTGGGGACATTGGGGATATCAGGGTTAGGAGAACCTTGAGGAACCTTGAGGAACATCAAGG